AGCAGGGGGTCTGCTTCTCCCTCTGCCCTCTTCCCTCTCGTGCTCTCTGTCTCTCATTCTCTCTCTCTCAAATAAATAAATAAAATCTTTTAAAAAAAAATTATGATTTGATCTACTACAGAAGTACAGTTGATTTACAGTTGTTCAGAAGCATGTTTCCTATCTAAAGTTTCCTAACTAAATCTAGCTTATTTCCTATAGAAACCTATCTTCCCACCCCTACTGATTTTTCCCTAGAAAAATAACCCTGACCCTCTCCTTCAGCTCAGCCTTACCCCCCAGACAGAGCCCCTTTGGTTTTACTCACCCACACAGTTGTCACAGATGCTGCAATGGGAGGCCCGGGGAGGCCGAAAGATCTTGCAGGTATAACAGTATTTCAGCTTCACAATCTGGTTGTTGATCTGGAAATTCTTGATACGAGGAGGCGGTCGCTGGCCCTGGGGCACTGCACCATTGGTAGCTTCTGTAGATCAGTAAAGACAGTTAATATCACTGCCAGCCATTATTTGAGCCCCAAAGTCTCACCACTTCTCCAAAAGCAGTGGGAGCAATCACCAGTTCCCTAGGCCCACTGTTTTCTCCAGACTAGCATTGCCTGAGGGCACTCTCAACATCAAAGAGTGTCGTGTCAAATTCTGCTGAATGCCATGCAATTCTTTTGTGCAAATGTGAAAAAAGGTTTCTTCACATTTTTTGGCAGATTACAAAGAAAAACATTCATAAAAGAAATAAAAATGGCTAAAAAATATATAAATATATGAAATGAAAACATTCAAATTCACTAAGAATCAAAGACATAAAAATCAACACAAAGATACTGTTACCTCCTACTATATTAACAAATACTAAAAAGAATAAAAATACCCAGTGTTGGCAAGGACGGGAAGAAGGTATTTTTATACATTATCAGTAAGCAATAAAGCAGTGGCTCCCAAAACTTTAAAGGCATATATTTTTTGACCCTGCAATTCTATTTCTAAGAATTTAACAAAATTACAAAGAGTTACAAAAAAGATGTTAACACAAGGATATTTGTCACAGAGTCCCTTTTAATAGTGAAAACCTGAAAATAACCTCAGTGTCACAATAGGGGGTTGGTTAAGTAAATTATGATACATGCATAGGATGGAATATTATGCAACCATTTAAAATGATATAGACAAGTGAATGAAGACTCAGGACAACAGTCACAATATATTGCACAATGAAAGTGTACACTAGAAAGCAACTAGTGTACATTCTATCTTGCAAAAATAAAATATATGCATGAAAAAAAGACTGGTAATACTTAGAATCAGAAAAATAATCATTTCGGGGCGCCTGGGTGGCTCAGATGGTTAAGCGTCTGCCTTCAGCTCAGGTCATGATCCCAGTGTCCTGGGATCGAGCCCCACATCGGGCTCCTGGCTCAGCGGGGAGTCTGCTTCTCCCTCTTCCTCTGCCTCTCCCACTGCTCATGCTCTCTCTCTCTCTCTGTATCTGTGTCTCAAATGAATAAATAAAATATTTTAAAAAATAATAATCATTTAAAAATAAGAGTAATGCATGCTTATTGTAAAAAGTTTGGAAAAAACAGAAGATATATATAAGAAAAAATAAAAATCACCGACAGTCTCTCAATTCAGGAATATCCATGCATTTTGGTGTATTTCCTTAACAGGTAAATAAACATTCGTGATTTTTAAAAACTTGAGATCATATTATAAATATAATTTTGTACCCTGTATTTTTCACTTAACACTATATGGTGAACATTTTTCCATGGTTGTTAATTTCTCTTCCAAAAATATTAATATTGGCAATATAATATTCCCTCATATGCACATACCATAATTTATTTAACCATTCCATACTGTAGGGCATTTAAGTGGCCTCTGGGTTTTTACTATTTAAATGGTGTTGCATGAAAAAACTTAAAATATTCCAGATAAAGCTTAAATCCCCTCTGATCACCACCCCAATCCCAATTTCCACCTCCCCTCCTCAAGAATAAATACATTTGTTGGGGCACCTGGGTGGCTCAGTCGGTTGAGTGTCCTACTCTTGGTGTCAACTCAGGTCATGATCTCAGGGTAGTGAGATTGAACCCCAAGAGTGGGGCTCCAGGCTCACTTAGAGTCTGCTTGAGATTCTCTCCCTCTCCCTCAGCCCCTCCCCCCATTCTCTTGCTCTCTCTCTCAAATAAATAAAATCTTTTTAAAAAAAGAATATATACATGCATTAAAATTAATTTCTCAAACAGAAAGAAAAAAAGAAAAGCATGTTGAAGTCTGAGCAGTAATATATGAAGTTGCTGGCATTAAAATAGCTAGGCCCATATTAAAAAGAAAAAAAGGAAAAAGAAAAAAATGACGTGCTGAAAATCCTTCTACAGTAATTTGTATAACTCTGATTATTTCCTTTAACTAAACTCTAAGCAAAGTGGAATTACTGGATCAAAGGGTATGAATCCTTAAAGCCCATATTGCTTATTGTCAAAATGCTTCCCAGACAGATTGTATCAATTTGCACGCCCATCCATCTGCAGCATATGAGAATGCCTGTCTCGTTGCACCCTAGATGTGCAGGATAATTCTAAAAACAGAATAATTTTTCAATTCACTTTGATTTTAAAAATATCTGCCATATGGAACTTTTTTCCTTTTTTTGCAGAGTGGGGTGGATGCTGTGAAATCAAACAATAACAGTGTGCCACAAGTCTTAAAAGGATGGGGATAGCTATTCATTAGAGAATGATATAAGTACCAGCATGCCACCTTAATATTCCTTTGCATGGGCTTTACATGAGGGCACCCGTGAGATAGAGTTCATGGTTTATCCTCCCCATGAGGCACTATGATGCAAGGGAATCACAGTGTCGTCTTCTGCCCGTCCCCCAGCCCCCACGCACACAGCATACCCAGCACAGGGATGTAACAAAAACTTGCTAACATAAACATACGAATGAACACAAGAATGCATTCTTCTAAGGAGAGAAACATGCTAAAAGGAGAGGTCTCAATGTGACAGCTCAAGCCTGGGCTCCAGGCCCAGTGATCTGGCAAAACAGAACTAACCTTGCTAACACCTGCTGCTAGATGCCAGAGACAAGTCAAGGCACTGCCTTGACCTTCAGTTTCTCCATATGTGAATGGAAAGAGGATGATAAAAGAATAATCGAGATGGAGAAAAGATGGCACACACAACTCTCCCTCCTATCTTGCTCCTATCTCAGCTTTACCAGGTCTCCCCTGAACTCCAGCTGCACCAGCACACCCAGCCTCTGCTTTCTCCCCACTATTCCCACTCTCACCCCATCCCTAAGTAGTTCAAGCTCAGACGTGCACAAACCTATGTCCCCCTAGTGCAACTAAAACAGGCTGGAACTCTTCAAAAAGAAATTCGCTGAGAAGCTAGAGGGAAATGCAACTAAAATAAACAAAAGAAATACAAAAGCTTGGAAGCTTTCAAACCACTCTAAAGGAGTATCAAATCAACACATTGTATACTTTAAACTTACACAATGTTGTGTCAATTATATCTTGATAAAACTGGAGGAAAAAACATCAAATGGAAATGGGAGAAAATATTTCATTGATGATAGCATGCATATAAACATTAGGAATAAACTCAATATGAGAAACAGAGAAACTAGATTCTAAAACTATAAAAATTTTATTCAAGGGCATAAAATTCAATCTGAAAATAAAGACACAGTATTTTCTTGGATAGGCAGATAATATTATACAAATGTAAATTCTCTCAAAAAATATAAATGTAATATACTACCTATTATAACTTTAATATGTTTGTGTGTTTTTAATTAAATAATATTAAAATAAACAAACAAACAAACACCCTAACAGTTTAAAGGCTAACTATAGATTGGTGGTCCATGGGCATAGCTTTTAGTCTTACAAGTTCTGGGCCCCTTTCTTCTAATCTATCTGGCTTGGATGCTGACTCAAGCTACTTGGGTACTGGACTTGCAAACAATTTCGGCAGGCACTGCTATGGGGTCTGAGGGGCTCCCAGTCCCCGCTAGCACTGGTATCATGGCCTTCTTTCCCAGTGTGAGCTCCTAGGATATTCCCTCCTCTAGCCCTGGGATCTTCTGCTTCAATTTGTGGAGCCACCCTGGCTCCTGGCTAGTGTACCACTTTATCTCTGTCCCAAAGAGACCTACCCTGAGCTGAAAACTGCACTGTAATGAGCCTGTAACTGCTTCCTTTACCCTCCTTTACCTTCCTAGAATTCTCAATGGTTCCTGGCACCATGGCTGTCTCCTCTCACCTTATGTATTGCCTTAAAGCAGGAATTCTTGGTGGGGCTCATGAATGTGCTTCAAAAGATCTATGAATCCCTGAAATTACATCTGAAATTATACATATATGCAAACATATAAGAATATTTTTGGGCAACCTGGGTGGCTCAGTTGGTTAAGCGACTGCCTTCGGCTCAGGTCATGATTCTGGAGTCCCTGGATGGAGTCCCGCATCGGGCTTCCTGCTCGGCAGGGAGTCTGCTTCTCCCTCTGACCCTCCCCTCTCTCATGTGCTCTCTCTC